CAGAAGTATTACAAGTATGGCTTTGAAACTTACCATACTTGTTCACACCATCATAACCTCCATCTACAGACAAGAGTACATAACTCTGTCAAGGTTTTTGACAGAATTATGGCCCTTTTTTGACTTAGAAAGTGTATTGAGCTTGGTTAAGTTTTTTGTACCACCTCACTTTATTTCAAAACCATTGGAGGTATTGCTTTTGAAACTGACCATACTTGTTTACCATCACGACCTGTCATCAACAGACAAGAGGACATAACTCTGTCAAGGTTTTTGACAGAATTATGCCCCTTTTTGACTTAGAAAATACATTGAATATTGGTAAAATCCACTTATTGCCTTAACCCTTTGAGATATTGCTTTGAAAATTTTAATGCTATTTCACATCATTACCCCCATCTGTACGCAAGAGAAGGTAACTCTGTCAAGGATTTGTTTTAAAAATTAAGGCCTTTTATCGACTTAGAATCTTGGTTAAGTTTTTAGTACCAGTCCACTTTTTGACTGAAACTGTTTGAGATATTAATTTGAAAGTTGGAATACTTGTTTACAATCATGATTCCCAAACATGTCCAGGAGAAGGTAATTCTGTCAAAGATTTTATTTGAATTACTGGCCCTTAACTGTCAATGTTTTTGTATTATAGGCAAGCACTAAAAAACTTAAAAATCTAAAAAAATTCATTCCTATCCACTTGTTCACTTTAAAAAGCTTGATAAAATTTATCTTATTACTTGTATTATAAGGTAACTATAATACTTTCACATACAAAGTCAAATCTATATATTATGCTGATTGTACAAAAATATACTGCTTTCCTTGGCATAGATTTCTTGAAAATTATGTTATTATGTCATTTACCAAGGTGTTCTGAGTGACGTAAAAATACCTTATTCTCTCAAAAGTGGTTTTAATACTATTAAATTTATTTAAGGCTCAACTCAGTTTTTTTTTCTTTCTTACCAGCCCTCTTTTGACTTAAACATTTCAAACTTTGCTGCAGTGTTCAAGGGTATCACACAATTCAGTAAAATAATTCTTCACTAAATATCTTAATGCTCATGGCCATTGTTCACTTTAAAAATACAGAGATTCTTGTATTGCCTTTTACTGCAAAAACTTTTTTTATTGGCAAGCAATAAAAAAGTCGAGCGCGCTGTCTTACGGACAGCTCTTGTTTTGAAAATGTATTTATTTCTGCTGCTTTGTTAGCTGTATTTTACCAAGAAATTTGTATATTTACAAAATAAATTACAAAAATTTAGGATATTCCATGGTTGCTAGGTAACAGAATATAGCTTCCTTCATGTTGTATTTGTGTAATTATGCCCTTTATTTAGTGTTACTACCTTTGATGATGTTATACTTGAGTCATCTTTCATTTGCTGTTGTATTAAACTGTTGTCTGCTGTCAGAGTAAATATCTGAATAAAGTTAATAAATGAATGATTAATGGACACTGTGTTTAGTTCTTTTGAAGTTGTATTATGATATCTCTCAACAGTGATATGTCCTGTTAACACTGTAGAAATGCAATAGAACCATTTGCAAATGTGAAAGAAGAATATATTTCGTATTGATACTTGCAAGTGTTTATAAAATAAACCTAGCACATAATTTTTTACACGAAAAAGGCCAGGAAGAACCAGGAATAGGTCCGTTGCTAGGCAACATTAATGCTAAATGATGCTTTAATTATGGTGGCTGTATCCAAAAAATATTCTACAACATTTATTAACTTTAAATAACATAAAACAATTTTTTTACAAAATTCATATTTAGCTTCAAAAGTTGTTTTCCCTCATGCACCTTTAAACATCACAAAGATCAAAGACTTTATGTGTATTTTTAATTACTTACTGAGACACCATACTCACAAAATTATGTATATCTTTGTTAATAAGAAAGACATCGACCTTCAAATTTCAGGAATTACTTCTGATATTTCATAGATTTAGAAAATTAAAAAAAAGTGAAAATCAAAAATTTGGTCAAGAAACCCCATTTTTTGCATTCCATGACACATAATTATGGTGATGTCGGTTTGATAGATGGTGATGTTATAAAAGCATATGTTGCTGTCATTTTATAGACGGTGCTGCGACTTACTTTACAGACTCAATCAAACCGAGTCTGCAATTCTTATGTAATTTTGTTGTGATTAATGCTTCCGAGTGATCACTTTTGTTGCCAGAATTCTTTAAATAATAGATGGTGATCATCATGTCGTTTCAATATATGATGATGCCATTTTGAAAGATGGTGATGGGAGTTTCCATTATATTGTGATGTAATTTTGATATGGTGATGTGATTCTGCTTTATGGTGTTATGGTGTTTTTAGATCTAATGCTGTTGTTTCGGTGAATGGTCATTTGGAACCATATACATGATTACAGAACCATATATGAAAATCACAGCACAATCTAACAAAATAAAATAACTTTATACCAAAATTAGCAAAAATGATAGCATAAACCGATTTAGACCAGAATACCAATTTCTCGGAAACCATAACACCCATCTATCAAAACTACATCACCTTCATCAAAATGACAAATGACCATAATTAATATATATCAAAATGACATCGCCATTTATCAAAAAACACAGCAAGTATATGAAAAGAGAGACCATATACTATAATGACAGCAACATCTATCTAAACAACATCACCATTTTATCAAAGCCAATGTACCATCATTAATCGACAGTACCATAAACCAAAACTACTCCACCATATATCACCAGCGTCACTTTGAACGCCGCCTTTCCTTGTTAATTTGTTGATCATATTTTATATAAAACGACATCACCATCTATCCCAAAACCATATAGCACCAGACATCTTTAAAAGCAACAGTAATTACTATTTATCATAATCACCGGCACCATTTATTTAAAAAGATGCCACCACTTTAGAAATGTGTATATATATACTCGGTTCCTATGATATCACCGGGGGTTCTAGGATATTCACAGTATTTTTACATGTTCTGCACGACTAGTAAAAGTAATGATGACATAGCCTAGCAAACAAATTATGCGCTTAAGGGCTTTTTATTATATAAAGGATGGCCGCCCTTCGTAAATACCAACATCTGTGTAATTTATCAAATTTGTAAGGTCGCTCGGTCTTGCTGTCAAATTAATTCAGATTACATATGACAATGCTATTATTTTCAAAACTGTCACATACAATTACACAGCATCTGCCAATAAATTCAATTTTGTGAAATAATGAATATTTGGGGAGAAAAAACTTTTTTTGATTAAAAATCTTCATATTTGACTTCCATATCCCTTAATTGTTTACGATGTAATAATCCAATATAGTTGCAAATCATTTATTCGTAAAGCTTGAATTTTATAGTCAGTTAACTGTTTTGGAAGTTTTCCACATCTTAATTTGAAGATTTTGACCCATCTGTCCTTTTATACTTGCATTTTTGGGGAAAACCGTGATGCCGTAAGTAACCTCTGAAATCACCCAAAATGGCAATAGCAACTTGTCAATCTTCGGATAAGGACCCTCGAACACAATTGTATGAATACACTGAACGGATACTTTATTTCGTTCTAACATACGCTAAAAACTAAACATGTAACAATTAGTATTTTTTTAATGCTCGGAGTTTTTGACAAACTTCTTTCCAATATTCGAAGTAAAATAGAGAGAAATAAGAATCCCTAAAGAAAGCCCAACACGGCAAAATTGAAAATGTTGCAGGCCCCCTAGCACTAGCTTAAGTAAAAGTCCACCTAAAATATGTGAATTCATAGAAACAAATGAAAACAATACATTATTTATATATTTTATTGTTATGATTGTAGAAACCGAAAAGTACAAATGCCAACCTGTTGACATTTAGTCGGATTTGTTTAAATTGTACCCCAGTGGGCATTTTGAAAATTCAAAAATGGTTTTTCAAACATATTTTCAAAATCATTATGTACCGAACAAACTAATTTTTTCTTTGGATTTGCAAAATAAGAGAGAATATGAGATAACAACTCTCTGTTTCTGTTTACATCGAAACAACGTGGTAATAACTACTTTCAATCCGAATTTAACTCCGAAGGGTTATAATTTGATATAGCCAGAGGATGTTTGCATTGCCAAAATGGCTGACTATAGAAAAAGTTTTAAAAATAAAAACAATTTTAATTGAATATCTTGAAATAGAATTCGACAAACAGTTTGGAAAAGGATCACTTATAAAAAGAAGAGAAAATCCTCATCATCTGTATGGATTTTTATATAAATTTTTTTGATAAATGTTAAGTACCGGGCCCAAAGGCTATAAGGCAAAGTTATGGCGTTTTTCCATAGATAATATTTTGCTCCAGTCCATGGACACCTATTTATAGTTTAATGTTCATTACAGTTTCAAATGCATTTCAAAAAATTTATAAGACCGAGGCAAAACCAAAAATTAATTTTTTTTTAAAAAAGATTAAAAAAGGTAAAAAAGAAGTGAGTAGTCCATAAATATTGAACGTCGCTTTGAGATATTTTTGCTTCTGGGCAAAGGCTTGACCGACAAAAACTATAACAAGCCTGTAACGTCTAATATATTGGACTATGAAGTGAGATGCTCAGTGAAACAGTAAAAGAGGTATATTTGAGACATTTTGTATGAATTTCAGTAAAATATTTCCTACAAATTATTAAAAAGTGTGTTCGTCTGCTTTTTTAGTTAAAAAAAGGCAGACGAATACAATTTGTATCAATTTCAACATTTTTTGTATGTCCTATTTTATTTAAGAAACTAATATAAAGTAATGTTAAGGAATAGTTTAAAAAAACAACATTTTTTTTGACATTTTGTTTTTGAACGATTTTTGTTCGCTTTTCTTGGCTAATTGTGTTTTTACTATGCATGTATTATAATATATATTATGTACACTTTTATAATTAATTAATCATATCAGTTTTGTTTTTTTTTATTTCATCACCTGAATGAATAATACTAATATGTCAATTATTTTCTATTTCAGATCTGAAGGATGAACTCATTACAATGGTACAACACCTATCAGAGTACAGTTCCTCTTTCACCACTCACAGATGATGACCATACCCTCTAGCTGGGTTCTACATTATGCAGAAAATTGACATACAGACGAATCTTTCCAGGTGGTGGAAGGAAAGAAACAACTAGAGTCAAGTCGTTACATGACCTGTTTACATCGGGTAGAAAAGTTTCAAGGACAATATATTTATCAGCGGTCGCTGGATTTGGAAAACAGCATTTTCAAAATATCTCGCTATAACATGGTGTCAAGCTCATAAAATGGATGAAAATTATAACCATTTTAAAAAAAGAAGAATTGGAGGCGATACTTGGCTTTGAGTTTTTATTTCTAGTGCTATTGAGAGACGTAGATACAGAATGTGATGTTGACAACATGATTGAACAACAAATCATAAATAATCTTCGTTGTAAATCTGAAATACCAAAAAACTCTTTTAAATGACATTTTTTACGCAATGAAAAATGTCTTGTTTTACTAGATGGACTTGATGAATGGTTTCATCCTGACAACGATTGTTCAAGACTTCCAAAAAGTATTCCTCATCGGTATGCACGTGAAAAGTGTGTAATCCTAACAACGACCCGGCCATGGAAGCTTGGAGTCTCAAACTTGAAGACTAATCAAGTAGACAAAACAGTGGAGCTAGTTAAACTAGATAAACAAAATGTAAGGCAGTTTAACCTAAACGCAATGAAAAATATTGAAAGGCAACATTGAAGAAGAAAAAACTGATCAATGAAGTTTGTAGATTTGAAGAGGAAAATTAGAAACCATGACCTTGATGATATGGAATCCACCCCTCTCCTGTTGCTATATCTTATATGTTTTATGGATTTGCAAAAATTCCAATAGGAAATTCCGCAGTAGAATTATATACAGGCATTATTCAGCTCCTTCTATCTAGAACAGAAAAGTTACCATGGAAAGTTTCATTCATCGTGTGAAACATCCCCTAGTAATGTTCCAGAATGTTTCAGAAAACATCAACATTTCTGTCGTTACTACACGTTTCTGGTGACCATTGGGAAACTAGCTTTAATACATTGTTTCAGTAAGAAAAAAGAGCACAAAATTAGTTTTTGATGAAAAAGTTCAGAAAAAAAAATCTTTACCAAGAAAAATTTTTAAAACCCAAACTTTTCTATTTGGAATATTAACAGAAAGTAAAAATAAAAACATTTTAATTTAAAAATAAGTTTTTTTTTAAAAATGAATCTATTTCTAAAACCTTTTTAAAAACAGTGGGGGAATAAATTTTTTAGGGAAATTTATAATTTTTAAAAACCCAAATGAAAATTTAAAAAAAACATTTTTGAAGAGGGGCAAAGTTTTCAAAAAAATTCAGACATTTAAAAGTGTTTTTCTTTTTTGTAACATGAATCCCAAATTTAAGGGCTACAAATATCCCAAATGATTTGATGCTGTGAATTAAAAAATAAGAGACAACAAACAAATCAAATGTGGGCAGGGTTTTGAATTTTCCTGTACATTTTAAACCCCTTCAAACAACCAAAAACATTTTAACCTTTTCTTGTGCCAAAAAAACCAGGGAAAAAAAAGACCCAATTTTGTTTAAGGATTTTTCAATTTAAAGAAAAAATTGGGAAACAAAAAAACTACTTCAAAAAAATTTTCAACTTTGTGGGCAGCAAAAAAAAGAAAACATAAAACCCAAAAATTGGGAAAAAAATAAAAGGGATTGTAGTCTACAAAAAAATTTTTCAGTTTGTTTACCTCTCTGAAATTTCCCAAAAAAGAGAAATTATTCTATTGAGGTGGGAAAATTGGGAGAAAGGAAAAAAAAAAGACTTGTTTTGAAAACCCTTTTTTAAGTTTTTAAATGTGACATCAAAATAAAAAGGGGGAAAAAATAAAAATTTGGGACGGAAGGGGCGTTGGCCCTTTTTTTGCAGAGATTTAAAAGGGCATGGGGGAAAATTTAAAACCGTTGGGGTGTTTTTCCCTTTAGGGGTGGTTTTACTATGACCCCCCAGGAAAAGGAGAATTGTTAAAAATTTTCCCCACTAGTAAAAAACAAAAGAAAGAAAAAACCTTGTTTAAAATTTTCTGTTTATCATGGTAAATTATTTTAGGGGATTCAACCTTGACGCTGTCTCAACATTTCCCCCAAAAAATTTTTTGGATTGATCCTTGATACCCGTTCACCAAATTAAAAAATGGATGAAACGTTGTTAGAGAATGTGAAAGTAGGTGATTATAAAACCTGGTGTTGTGTCCCCTTATCTCATCAAATACCCCAGCCCCCGTTTAAAATAAACATTTCCCCTGTAGTTTAAATCTTTTCCCGGACAAAGAAACAATTTACAAACATTACATTGTTTAAAATTGAAACTTTTTAGGTTTTGGGTTTTCATCAATCTAGGGAAAGATCATTAAAATGTCCCGTTTTTAAATTTTATTAATTTTTTGAACGTGGGTTGACTTGTATGATAGTAACAATGCTTGTTCAGTGTTACCGATGATCTCATTACTTGTTATAAACAAACTACACATATCAGTGGGTTGTAGTAAATTATGGCAGGGGTTGTACAATATAAAACCAGAAAACACGAATTTGAAAAACGTTAAAACATTTTTAATTTTTTAAAAATCAGACAATTTTGTGGTCACATTCTATTGATGATACCCTTGAAATCTTGGATAGTATATATGGTTGTTGAGTTTTAAAAAAACAACAAGTACTTTTTTTTTTTTTTGAAAACTTACATGTACTTGGGAGAAACAATTTATAAATAGATTATGAGACAAGTGACAGGTGAAATAGACATCATTTTTTTTATTTCGAGTCTGAGATTTAATCAATACTTTGCTGTTCATAACAATGTGATGTGAATGGAAACTAAGGATTTTCTTACTGGGACAACAAATGTGGATTAATTTTAGATGTATTTTACCCAAGTAAGTGTTGTTTATTTCTTTACATGTACTTTATAACAGTAATATGTGGCATATACATTGATGCTCCTGGGCCTAGAAGCATAAATTAGCCTTACTTTAAAGCATGTCATGCAAAATCAACCCATAGCTTGGGGTCTGCGTCGGCGTAACCACTTATGTTAAAGTTTGCACACGTGTTCACCATTCTGTCCCAACCTGTAAATAAGAGGAGGTAGCTCTATCAAGTATTTTGACAGAATAATGCTCCCTTTTTGGGTCGCTGCGCTTGCGCAAAGCGGCCCAAAGTTATAAGCTACATCTGAGGCTTATTGCCAAACGAATTTCGGCTGAAATATATACATGCACGTAGTAAATAGTTCCGTATCCATGGTCGGTAACAAGTTAGAAAATCCGTACCTTCATTCATTACAGGAGGGTTATCATACATTTTGAAATGTATCATGATATCGAAAATTACAGTAAATTTGTGCTGTGTACAGAAAAAATATCAATGCGCGATTGAATCACGTGACAGGTCATTGAGGTCAGCCATGTTGATTCGACTTTCGTCATTCGTTAATCGATACAGACAACTAGGATATTTTGAAGAAATTGTAAGTTCTTTAGTAATTTTTCAGTTTCCTTGATTAAATAGAAAAGACTTTATGAAACTGAGCCACCCGTGTGATCAATTTTTGAAGATTTGTTTATAAAATTTGTCGGTAACAGGGTAACAATTCGTCACCGTGACGATTCGTCCCAATTTAGTGACGATTCGCCCCACCTAAAATTAACATTTTTAAAAATTTTCATGTTCGATTCACAGGCACGAGTATCGGACCTGGGAAGAAAAAATATGACCAGATTGATAACAAAAACCTGTGTTCATCTTAAAAGTGTCAAAAAAACCCAAAAAATTAAATAATGACCCCCTTTTAACTTATAGTATATTTTTAAATGGGGTCATTATTAAATTTTTTGGGGTTTTTTTACACTTTTAAGATGAACACAGGTTTTTGTTATCTATCTGGTCATTTTTTTTCTTCCCAGGTCCGATACTCGTGCCTGTGCTTAAAATTAACATTTTTAAAAAATTCATTTGGACTGAAAAATATTTAGGAAGTGGCTAGCCGTACGGGCCCGTACGGCTAGCCAAAAGTTCTAGCCGTACGTGAGTCACGTACGACTAGCCTGGAGTCCCGGACACACTGTATTGGCTAGCCGTACGGCACTTTTCAAAATTATATGGAAGTCGAAAATGCATATGTTATTTTGTGTCTTTAAACAACGAGTTTAATCAAATCTCCGCATTTGTCCTAGTAAGTTCACTTTAATAAAGATACTCTGCAATTTTGCACACACAAAAATGAATACGAGTAAGCGTTGTATAATCTATCTTAATAAAATTAAGTGTCAAAGTTGCATGTTATAACGTCCTTAATTTTCATGCTTATGATTGTATGAAAGATGAATTGTTCAAGCTGTTAATTAAGCACATGGATCGAATAAATAATGATCGGAGGGGAATAAATAAATAAATAAAAAGAATATTAAAAAAAAGTGAAAAGGAAAAATAATTTAATAATGCAAACTTTTAATAATGGACGATGGACAAACTTCTATACCGTCGGTAATTGGCGCAATTATCAGAGCCCAACAACAATTATTTTCGGTGTTTTTTGGGGTTGTTTTTTTTTCAATTTAAAAATTAAACTTAATTAAACAAAAAAGGATTATTATCAAAATTTTGTAAACTATTTCAAGTGATGTTATTTAACTGCAACCAAACGCTATTTTTTCTCGACGTCTTGAGATGACAAAGTAAATTCTTTACTGTAGCCAACACGTCGATTAATCTCTAAAAAGCAACCATTCTTGACTAAAATCCTCGCTTAAAGTCATTATCAACATATGCACTTAATTTCGCCTTACATATATTTTTGAAAAGCACCGTACGGCTAGCCAGTACAGTGTGTCCTGGCTAGTCGTACGTGACTCACGTACGGCTAGAACTTTTGGCTAGCAGTACGTGCCCGTACGGCTAGCCACTTCCAAATATTTATGTTTTAGGTTTTTTTGCATTTGTTTGGTATATCCTTTTTATTTCATGATTTCCAGTGTTTTATTGTAATATATCAGATGATTATATTCTGATAAACCACTAGTGAAATTTATAAAATATAATTTTCACTGTAGCCGGACTATATCTGAATGCGGATGAAAGGAAAATCATAACTGAATGGAATAACAGGCAGAAATATATGCCGTCATGCGTAAATTTTGCTTCTTTAGGAAAAGAAAGTCGATGTCATCATACATAATGTTAAAAATGTAACAAAATTAGAGAAATGTAACAGACCTATTTTTCAAAATTGATAATGTGACGTCATGATGTGATGACGTCACATGGGAGAATGCGCGACGTTACGCGGCAAAATTAGTAAAAAAGTACTTAAAATCACTTAAAAAGCATGAAATAAAAAGAAAATTTATTTGTTTTACATATAAGATTGAAATATATTTCATTCGTGAACACCAGCTATTATATTTTCACTCGTGGCTACGCCACTCGTGAAAATATTGCATCTGGTGTTCACTCAGTGAAATTATATTTCAATCTTACATGCAAAACAAACAAATATCCTCTATATATTTAATAGATAACAGATAAAGGTTTTTAACAGAACTAACTGTATACAGTTAATAGTAATAAATTATTAAATTAATCTGAATTCTTATTTGTATATTATAAATTATAATATTTAATAATAATAAATAAACTAGATAATAGATTGATGTTATAGATACAATTGTAAGTATGATAATATTGTTTTTATTTACTCATTCATAGATATTCGTTTCTACAAGCAGATTGTCATACATTGTATTTTCTATTGTTCTATTAATCTGATAAAATAAAAGAAATTTAGACAATGCAAACAGAAAAAAAGAAAGGTGTAATATAATCTGGATTTAAGGGGTGCAGGGGAGTACTATGGAGTTGTAGGGGCAGGAAATCTGTGTTGAAGTGGTTATGGTTGTTGATTCTTAACCTCTGGCCCCTGTTGTTGGTTCAAAAAATAAATTCAGTTCGAATGGTTTGACCTATTTTACAAACTTTAATTTTTCATACTTTCACCCATCCAATATTATCTCAGCGTCTCTCTGACAAATTAAATTAGTTAGACTAATAATTTTATGAATACTATTGACCATGGTATTTGTAGCATGACATTATATAGGTTAATGGCAGATTGGTGTAACAAAAATTATTGTTTGTTTACATGGAAAAATAGAATCCCTTAGGCCAATTAAAAAAATATGTCTGGTTCAGGAAACATTGGTCCAAAAGATTAGGAAGGTAGGGATTTTTTTTTTTTTTTTTTTGGTTTGGAGAAATTATGTCTTATCAGTATATAGATGTGTTGCTTGCTTAACATACTTAAACAAAGATTGTAATCAATCAATGTAAACACCATTTTGTAATAAACTATCAGCATGTGATATTGTGTTGTCTATTTCTTGTATGTAGTCATTTAACCATGACATTGTAGCACCTGGATTCATACTAATCTGCTTTCTATTCTGCTTATTATGTACCCTTTCCCTTTGAATCACCGCTGTACTATGCTAACCTGCATCTGACAGGACTGACAATTAAAAGATCAAGGGTCACGTCTGTAACAAGTTAATAATAATGCTGTATTATAAGCTTAGAGCATCTGATATGCACTATTCCTGGGACCAACATAACACAGCTACAATGTATATATAATTTTAATATTATAAATAAACTTATTCAAATGGTATTCAGGGGGCGCCGCAAGTCTATAGATATATATGTGCAACTGGTGCCAACAGTTGCAGGGTTCACACAAAGAAGGAGTCTTGGGACTCCCAAGCACAGAAAAGTAGGAGTTCCAGATCACATTGAATATGTAAAGACATATTTGCTGCACTTATATGCAGTTGACAAATATGATGTATAGCAGAGTTACTATAAAGGGGTTGGGGAGTCAGAGTTTTAACAGAGAAAAAGCTTATTCAGGAAAATAGTAAAATGCCCCAAATGGAAAACACTGTACCATAAAAGTGATTGAAAAGATTTGAAATATTATTTCAAAAACATACATCATCAGACCATTATGTTTTCTTACACCCCCTCCCTTAAAAAGGAAAATATTCATTGTATGTTACAAACGCATACTGGTAATGGCTCCATCTCAACTAATGTAAACAATATCTTTAGTAAATTTAATTCCTAAACTATATTTTAAGTGTTATTACACACATTTTAATAAAACTTATCTTCCTTTTGGTTCCGATTTTTAATCATAAAAAGCGGCATCGCGAAAATATGTGACAATTGAAAATTTGTCTGTTTCCTGCATGAACATTCACAATTCTACTTGTTGTTGATTTTGATCATATAAGATTAAATATTTTTTTATTATTTTAAGATTGTTACTGATCGGCTATTTCAACAGGCATCGTAAAACAAAATTTTTACAATTGTAGTTTTCGTACCCAAAAATTTTCATACCGAAAATCAAAAAAAAAGTTTAGGGTCGGCGTTAAAAAACTAGGGTCGGTCGGGTTCCCTGAACCAATCATATTTTTTATTTTGGCCTTAAGAACACCCAAAATGACACAATTGAAAACGTTGCAGGCTTTGTTTGTTTGAGGATAAACAGTAGTAAACAGTACTGGAAAATGCAAGTTACTGTCCTCGCCCCCTAGCACATACTGGCTTAAAGGCCCATAATACAGTATGCCCCAGAAATGATTTTAATTTATTTTTCAAAAGCCTGTTATTTTTGGTGGCCTGTTATAACTTCTAAAAATATACTCAATGGGCAAATATCTGAACCAACTTTTGACTCAGCTGTTGCTTTTTAGCAATCAGTATAGTTAAAGTGATTTAGTATTTTGTATGGAAGTCAAACAACTACTTTGTTTACATGCAAACAGTAAGGCCTTACATGTTGTAATTCTGTCCTAGAGGAGGTGTCTGATTATTCTTTAAGGCTTCGGTTCTCACACCGACACTAACTGAGTTCAAATACTTTGCCAAATTCAGTTTTTATAGTCTAATTATTGAAATAATCTAAACCAAAGTTTTTGAAAAACAAAGAAAAAAATACACAGAATCTTGATGAACAGTATCCTGTTTGTTCAGTTCCCCCATTCTTTTTTTCATTAAGGGAACATACATTGTATTCTTTGGGAACATACGCCACTTTTCATGTAATGGCACTAACATTTCACATTGGAGGTTCCATGATTACTGCCATAAAAATACACCTGCTAATGTTTCTAATTTCAAAATTTTACCATTACATGTTTAAATGTTGAATACTGCTTAACCTGGTGCTATTGGGTGTGAACAGCAGCATGCACTTTCCAGTACTATCCATGAACTGGCTCAATCAAACTGAGTCTGCAGCATTTTCAATATTGCTATTTGGACTTTCTTTTTAGAATAACTGTTTCTCTTTATGTACATAATTACCAAGTATAAAGCTTTAAAAATTAAATGAGCGAATAAAGAGACCACTAAGGACAAACACATATGCAAACAGCTGGATTTTATTTATTTTGCTCAAGCATTGTCACTCAGTCATATTTGCCTGTATTTAAAGAAAGATTCTATAACTAGAGTTTTTTAGAAGGTAATTCCTGATCCAGAAGTGTTCTCCCACAAACAAGTGCGTGGTTCCCGATTCTGCTCTATGCTAGTGCATACAGAAACAGACGATAGTACTTAGACTGTGTATCATATAAAACTTTATTTACATGATGATAAGGGGATTTTCTAATAATATGAAAAATTGTTGATATAAGAAAAATATATAATTAAATTGATAACATGGGATTTGACTGATTAATTTCACAAATAATCATTGTATTTTATAAACATGAATGATATTGTCTGAATGGTTATGGTCAACATTTTACTTGCTTTTGATTTGTTCCAATAGTTTGATGCATTGACCTGTTTTGAATTGGTATATATACATGTACATGATGTAGCTGATTTGACTATTAAGCCAAATGATTTAGATAACTATAAGTTGGGAATGCTTTATTGTTGATATGAAAATCATATTAATGTTAAATAAGAAATGCATTTATTTCAGGTGTGTGATATAACAAACTGTTGTGCGAGGTTTTTAATGTGACATGGTCAAGACATACTATGATAGTATTGTTCAGTGTAAGTTCTCATTAAATGTTTGTTTATAATAAAAACCCACATTTATTTTATTGAGCTTTGGAAAATTTTGAAACACATATTTGACTTAGTAGTCAAAATTAAAAACAACATTACCCTCATGGAAGTATTTCCTGTACAAAAGCAGTATACCAGCTTTTTTTGCAATAAATGCTGTTGTTTTTTCCTTGTGTCCAGAATGATATGCACATACTGTTAAGAAATATATTTAGAAATACATTGAAAATTGTATATTTGTGCTATTCTTATTCTATTCTTCCCAATACATGTATGAATCAAAAGCTCGGCAACACTGTTCATTTTTTGGACATTTTACACTGTTCAAGTTATCATTCTGAGAAAACAGAGCGAGTGCATGATCTGAAATTTTTGAATATAGGTTTTTTTTGGTGAGATCTACATCAAATAGAATATCATATAATCAATCTTGAAAAATTATTTCCAATCCGGTCTTGTCAAAAGCCTCAGTGGAGTCCCTTTAAGTAATTCATATATGACATTGACCTTTAGATGACTGACCATCAAGGTCAAATACTGAATTTAACTTATTGTCATATCGTTACATTTATTTGTTTTCTGTTCGCATATATATTTATTAGAAGAATTCCTTGAAAAATATTTACCTCATTTTGACTGTAAAAGTACATAAATTATAACAACCTTAGAATTCAGCCATCAGAGGCCAATAATGCTTAAGGTAGTAATAAGAGTATAAGTCTGAAGTTTACAATATTTATGATTTCTCTTTGGTTACAGAGAGAAACAGTTTTCCTTTTTGTATTTTATTATATTGAAAAATGTATAATTTGCTATCAAGTTGTGTGTAACTAAATGTGTAGTACATTTTACATTATTTTCTGTTCTTAGTAATTAATCTATAGAATAAGAGTATAGGTAAAAGAATCTCTGGTAAAAAATATTGAAAATCTTAAAAGCACATATAATGTGTCAGAGGTAAATAATTTTGTAATTCTTAAGAAAGGTCAAACATGTGTTCAATAATGTTTTAATGATGTATTTAGAGCATTGTAAATGTTTAACAACTGAAAAGAGTAACACTGAACAAACAGTCATGTGTTGTAAAGGTAGCAAAATGTGAGCAGTATTATTTTGACTTCCATACAAAATACTAAATTAATGTAATAATACCAATTGCCAGATAATTTCTCTACATGTACATGGTCAATGAGTACATGTAACTATTTGAGAAGTGCAACAAGATATGTAAAAGGAAAGTTTCAAAAATATTTTTTTTATCTTTTCTAAGGCTTAATGGACCTTTAAAGTTATTATTTAATATATTTAACACAGATATCATATGTGCAGAAAAAATTGTGGTTAAATGATATAAATTGCTTGTTTAATACTGATTACTTGTGCATGATCTTTAATATAAGACATTAAATTTTGTTTTGCTTTTTTTTTTAGATGACTTCTGTCATGTTACTGTTTGATAACAGTGAAGGTACAGTAGGTTCAGACAAGTTATATACATGTATACAGGACAAGACAGCTCAAACCGGCAGTTTGTTATAGCAAAAAGTGATGAAGTTTCAGCCTAGAAGTCTTCATGATGATGATGATGATCCTAGTTATAGATTCTTTGAAATTATCTGTAAGGAAGGGGTTTCTGCTGCAGAGAATGAAAAAATTCATACAGGTTTGTCATTTTTTCAATAATAAATTTAGGTCTGTTGTTGATTGCATGTCAATAAAGGTCTTTCCTAATATCATAAGGTTCTAAGGTATGTCATCTTGTGGTTATAACTGATCCCTTAGCAATTAATTAGAGTCATCAAACTTTTTAAACATGTTAACTGTAATCACTTGTTGCATGGTGCATATGCCTGAAGTCAAGGATTTTGTGACAAATATCATCATGTTTTACTATTAGATTATGTGGAAAAATGATTAATGAATGAATTACAGTTTTAGGGTTTTTCCAAATTTTCAACTTGCACCAATGTTGTTGTACATAGGGTTTTACTTTCTAATGTTTGACTGATATCATTGCAGACCTTTACTAATTCAAAATCATGACAAAGTATTTAAAATTAGAAGTCTCCTTTCCAGAATTACATTAATTCATTGTAGGACTAGTAATCATACAAAAAATATATATTATTGTAAACATGTTACACTAGAAAATTAAAATGTATGCTTATAGTGAAATGATCCATTCTAAAGTTAAATTTTCAATTATTTTTCTGAAAAACAATAACCGATTATGCCCTGCTTCTAGTTTCTTGTATTTGAACAACTTATGCTGTTTAATTGTTTTACTAAACCTTGCTCCCACTTTGCAGTAAGAAGTTGCCCACTCTGTTCAAATGAAGCTGTCTGAAGTACCCAGTAGACAATGTATTATTTCTGGAACAACTTAATTGAAGTGAAGCTTACTATGTGAAGGAGTTATTTCTGTATTCAAAAGGAAACTTTTGCATACAGAATACCAATTGAGGTATAGTAGTTCACTTTAAATTTTTACTTTTATCCATCTAAAGAAAGCATGAGATACAAAAATAGGCGATAATAATTATTTTCCTGACACCAGAATACACTATGGTTCTGCTTGCAGTTAGAAGTGGTGTTCTATTCTTGTAAAGCAGCATTAATTGAAACCAATATTTGTCCTGTCATTTAATTGAAAGTAATTGACAATATTCTTGTTTGTTTTTCAGCAGCATTTGTAAAGTTAATTTAGTTTGAATATCACACCATCCATTGCTTTTGATTTTCTTGTGACCAGAAACTAGCATTTTACATAATGGTGTAAGCTAACTATGATAATTCATGCAAAGATATGATAAAAAATTATAGAAGAAATATGTCTTCGATTTACTGTTAAATTGTAAAGTATGGAGCACATTGTCTTTATGATTTGGAATAGATTCAGTGCCAGATATCATAAACAATAACTTGCAACATGACAAATATATTTTATTTTCAGATATTTGTAGCTTCAGTTATGGGAGAACAGAAGATTAATTGAACTGGAATCCCTTCAGACATTGACATAGCTAAATTCCACAGTTTCAACTATAAATGGACTTGAATTATTATACATTGGTTTTATTTTATACATGTATTTGTTGATATTTTTGTTTTCCAATATTTCCCAATATTGTTAATTTTGGATAATATAATGCCACAGAAAACTTGTCGGTCTTTGAGTATGGCTGTTTAACAAAAACACTGCAGATTGTTCATCAGAACAATGAAATTACAGTTTTGCTTGTTAATGAACTAATTTACATAAATATATAATTTTTGTAAGCATGAAGAAATTTGGAACATATCATATAATAGATATTTGTTTCTTTTGCATGCAAGATCCAAATATATTTCATAGAGTGAACAGCAGATTAAATATTTTCATGAATGGCATTGAAAAACATATATTATGTATTAGTATAACTTTGCCACAATGTTGGTAAATGGAGGCTGCTATTTTACTGTGACTAAAAGTAGTTCAGATATGACGCCTTATTATGTCCGAGATTTATAGCCAATCATACAAGCCAAAGAGAGCAGATTTTTTTCTGTGTAGAATCATTAATTTTCAATGTTCATCTTTGAAAGTGATTCTGTCATATTTCCTGAATTTGTTTAATTTCCTTCCTGATTTGCAAATATTTATTATCTACTCTTTATTTATCACATTTTTCTGAGAAATAAATGTATTTCCCACAAATTTCTGTTTGTTTATAGGCTTTTCATCCTCATTCAAATAAAGTCTGGCTACTTTTGAAATTATACTTTATTGTGAAATAATCTAAAAGTAATGTCATTTTTTTTCTGAAAAACATGTTATAAGTTATGGTGTTCAATTGATTTCTGCAGGACAACTTATGAAGGAAATGAATTGTGTTGATACTTGCCATGTTAGTATCAAAAGACATATTTAGTTCAATTTTGGCTACAATAAATTATTTTTGTTGCAGTAATGCCCCTTTTTAGCTCGACAAAATCTTTTTAAAAAATAGAGGTATCGTAACAGTCATGTTGGCATTGACGAGGTTATCCACAAACTTGTATTTTGATCATTACTTTTTAGCTCACCTGAGCACAACGTGCTCATGGTGAAACTATTGTGACCCCCACCATCAATTTTCGTTGGTCGTCAAAAATTTCTTTAAACAAATCTCCTCGGAAACCAAAGACTGCACAGTAACCAAACTTTGCAGGAATGATCCTACAGAAGTGCCCTTTGGTACTTTTGTCCAGTGCATCACTTGAAAACTAGTAGTTTGAATTCAATACAACTTGATACAATGGTCAAACGAATGAGAGAAAATGCAGTGTACAATAACCATTACTCCATCTGCAGTATTTGTAGAGTTCTTCAATAAAACTTAATCAATGGTCAACCACGTTGAAAGGAAATGCAACATACAAGAACCACAACTTACTATCTTTAAATGCCCACGAACATAACTCTATTTCAATTCTTTTACAAGGTATTCTGTTACAAATGTCTAAAGCAGTTTTGTGGGGGTATTAATCACATTTAGTGTAGTTCTAGTTTCAACTGACCATACTTTACTTATTTTTTGTGAGAATTTCATGAATCTCTCTGGATGAAATTGTGACATTGATAAGTCATGTATTCACAATCACTGAAAGTTTATCCCTGATGGAACACTTATTACTAGTATGCATATAAACAGAAAGATTTTTCAACCATTTTCTTTTCGAGTTGTTTGAACTTGAATATCAGATTGATAATAACTATAATCCCCAAGAATGAGCATGTTTTTCATATGCCTTATAAGTAGATGAAATTATCAATGCTAAGTACTTGTTAATAGAGGACTTGGTTATCTACTTCCAACTTCTGTTTCTGTCAGTAGTGTACTCTTAAAATTTATTCAACTTTCAAAGTATTATTTTGAGGATATAAAGCAGTTTGGTTTTTCGATCTCAACTGAACCACTTGAGAAAAAATACTGGTTTTTGTGTCGCCTCTATGGAGTAGTGGCGACATATAGGGATCACTTCTCGTCGTCTGTCTGTCCGTCCCTCACAAAACTTGTCCGGACTACTCATAAACCACTGGTGCAATTTCATCCAAACTTTACAGGAATGATCAGTACCAAGTCTAGTTGTGCATACTGTCAGCATTTTCCGGTTCAATGATTTTTGTCAGAGTTATGGCCCTTTAATAATTTTTATTTTTAAAGTTTGTCCAGACTTCTTCTCTTATACCACTAATGCAATTTCAATGAAACTTTACAGGATTGATCTGTAGCTCAAGTCCATGCGCATGTTGCACGGGTTTTCCGGTTGAATGATTTTTGGCCGAGTTATGGCCCTTTGGTAAAAAGGTGTTTTTTTCTGTGTGTTGCCAGATACACAAAAGCTTGTCCGGACTTCTCCTCATAAACTACCGGTGCAATTTCATCCAAACTTTACAGGAATGATCAGTACCAAGTCTAGTTGTGCACTGTCCGTCTGTTACAAAATTTGTCCCAACATGAAATTGGCCATCATGAGGTGACACATGTGATCACCGATCGCTCTTGTTAGTACTTTTGATAAACCGTGTTGTAATTGTTGGATGTCAATGATAAATCTTCCTGAATTAAATCATATGGCAAAATATTGCTCTTTCCTCTGTACTCAATCATTTCCACTTGAATATGACATGAACTTTTTCAAAAAAGTTGCAAAAGGACATGATTTGGCCTTTCAAGTGATCACCAGCAAAATAATGTCATATAAATTTGTCAGCGCAAGCGACCCTCCAGTGCTTTCAGTGCTTTGATCTACTTATAATTTTCACCAAGTTTGCGTACCACCTTAAATATTTCAAAGTCCATTGACATATTGCCTGCTGCACAGTAAATGGGCCAATTGTGTTAGCATCTTAGTCAACAAATAAAGTTAAACATACAAGGAAATATTTGCTCTTTTTAAGAACCTTAGGATGTCTGTAACAATATTTTTGGGATGAAAGGATAAGTTTTTAAATACTTTTTTCAAAATATTAAATCTTATGCAGTGTCGGTAGGGGACGGATGTTACAAAGATATATACTAAAACTTAAAAAAAGTCTGAATATCTTAAAATTTAGATATACTCAAATGTTCACCTCAACAAGGTTATGTGCAGAATCAATGTCACCTTTGTCATGTGGCTAAAGGTCAAGGTCACACTTGAAGGTAAAAAAATGACTTTGAAAATGTACTTAAATTTTCACATGTACTTGAATTTTTCTGAAACAAGAAAAGGTATTTGCTTGAAACTTAAAAGATATATGAGGTGTCACAAATAAGATATGCAGGTCAAGTTTTATTACTCTGTATTGCATTTTGACAAAGATATGCCCCTTTTTATCTCTTTTTTTTGAAAAAAAAAAGTAGAGGTATTGTTATAGTCGCGGCGGCGTTGCCGTCCACAAACTTGTACCTGGATCATAACTTTTTTATTTCTTGGTGTATTGTCTTCATACTTGGCCACAACAACCCTTGGGACAAGACCTTTCAGTAGATCACACTAACCTTGACCTTCATCCATAAATGACCTTGACCTTCAAGGTTAAATGTCCAAATTTTGCTTGTTCATGCTGTTATTGACTGTAAATTTGTTATTGTTGAATGGATTGTCTTCAAACTTAAACATAATAATCTTCAAGGATATACCTTAAAAATAACCAGAAAGACCTTGACTTTCACTCATTAATGACTTTGACTTTGAAGTTAAAATTATTAAAATTTTCATTGTTTTGGCTGAAACTGGCTGTAACTTTGCTATTATCAGTCTTCGACTTAACCCACTCGACCGACGACCGAGTCGAGTAAATTTGCGGGTGGTCGAGTGAAAATTCCAAGCTGGTAGCCCGTCTGGTCGAGGGCTTTTTTCATATCCAAATTAAGAAAAGGTTGGAAATATGCAGAGCTCCAGATAGCAATGTTTTGGCTTTATGAAAATACAATATATTTCTGCTGAATTGGATGGAAAACTAAAAGTACTATTGTCAACACTGCTGTAAGTTGAAAACGAAAGTAGCAGGAAGTGACATCGAGTAAAAAGGAAAGATAACTCTTGGGAGTTTCTGAAATGAAATTATTGATAAAGTTAAATTTGGTGTAATCATCGTAGGACTTAACCTAATATTCAATTTGTTTAGACATATATTATAATGTTTTTGCTCCAAAATAAAGAAAAATGTTGTACTTGCCACTTAAGTTATTGGAAAACATATTTCTCCCTTGCCATCTGCAGTTTTGTACTCAATATATTTTCGTACCAAGTTTACAGTTACGGACAATTTCCTCAAAGACTAATTCTTTGTGTTATTATATTTATTTTTCATTAATTCTAATTTCAATTATAAATAATCAACACCAAAGAACGGCACTAAAATGTTGTCTGTAGAAATAGAGTATGAATAAAGCCTCATGCTGACCATGTAGCTGATTGTAAAAGAATGTGACACATTCAAAACAAAAAAAAATGAGTCTTGTCATTCATTTGCTGTGTACTAGTCTAGGAAAGCCTGCCTTAACAGAGCAAGTTTTTGTATTATTTCACATTGAATCAATATTTTATTTATATAAGTCAGTCTGATTTATGTTAAGAAAGGAACTTTTTAGAAGGCAATAAAATTTGATAACAAAACAATGCAAATTCTTTTTATAAATTTTACCCCAGAATTTTCATTTTACTCTAGATTTTGATGAGTAAACCACCTTGGGACCTATAAACTATTTGCAGCTTTATTGAACTTTAAAACGCTTATGAAATATTGATTGTGAGACATTTATTAGGCGTCATCTCATGCTTCACAATATGTCTTTTCTCTTGTATTTTGAAGGCACTAAGCCAAAAAAGGAACACACCAAAAAAAAAAGTAATACGGAAAAGGAATATAAATATGTTGTCAAAGCATGTATCAGCGGACATGGTTATAGTAAACGAGGAGGAAGAGTATTTTCAGTTTTTAAACAATTTTTTTCAGTGTCTGTGGACAATGCCACAGAAATATCAAAATACTTCTTCTTTTCATATGTTTAAACTCTTCTTATTTAAATAATGAAAGGAAGAAAAGTTGATTAGTTGATATTTTAATAATGTCTAAATGGTATATAAAACATATAGAAAGTGTTATTTTTGTACAAAATGTATGCAAAAAATACCATTTTGGTTCGGGCTAGATAAAATGTGTTCGGGCTAGTGAAATTTGTTAGCTGCTAGCCCGACTGGGCTAGTGCTGATAAAAAATTAAGGCGAAGACTGTATTATTGAAGGGATCAACTTCATATTATAACAGAACATACTTGAGGACAAGACCTTGTTGTGACATCACCACGTGACCTTACCACGTGACTTTACCACGTGACTGCACCACATGACTTTACCACGTGACTTCACCACATGACTGTACCACGTGACTCTACCTAGTGACTCCACCACGTGAATTTACAACGTGATACACCACGTGACTTCACCACGTGACTCCACCACGTGATTTTACCACGTGCCTCCACCATGTGACTTTACTTTGGACTCCACCACGTTACTCTACCACGTGACACCACCACTTGACTTCACCACGTGACTCCACCACGTGATTTTACCACTTGACTTTACGGTGAGACTCAACCATGTGACTTTTCCACGTGATTTTACCATGTGACTGTACCACATGACTTTACCACGTGACTCCATCACATGACTCTACCACATTACACCACCACGTGACTCCACCACATGACTTTACCACGTGACTGCACCATGTGACTGCACAACATGACTTTAAATCGTGACTCTACCACGTGACTTTACCACGTGATACACCACGTGACTCCACCACATGATTTTACCACGTGACTCCACCAAGTGACTTTACCACGTGACTCCACCACGTTACTCTACCACGTGACACCACAACTTGACTTCACCACGTGACTCGACCACGTGACTTTTCCACGTGACATCCACCACATGACTTTACCATGTGATACACCACGTGACTCCACCACGTGATTTTACCATGTGACTCCACCACGTGACTTTATCACGTAACTCCACCACGTTATTTTACCACGTGACACCACCACTTGACTTCACCACGTGACTTAACCACGTGACTCTACCACGTGACACCACCACGTGACTTTACCACGAGACTTAACCATGTGACTTTACCACGTGACTTTACCACGTGACTCCACCACATGACTCTACCACGTGACTGCACCATGTGACTGCACCACATGACTTTAAATCGTGACTCTACCACGTGACTTCACCATGTGACTACACCACGTGACTCCACCACATGACTTTACCACGTGATTTTAACCACGTGACTCCACCACGTAACTCTACCAGGTGACTCCACCACGTGACTTCACCACGTGACTTCACCACGTGACTCCACCACAAGACTCCACCACGTGAATCCGACACGTGACTTTACCACGTGACTCCACCATGTGACTCCACCACGTGACTCAACCACGTGACTCCACCACTTGACTCCACCACGTGACTTCACCACGTGTTACCACCACGTGACTCCACCACGTGACTTCACCACGTGAATCCGACACGTGACTTCCCCAAGTGACTCCACCACGTGTATCTATTTATAGAATTTTCTATTTATAGAATTGTGTGTTTCTATTTATATATATATAAATAAGTATGCTTATATATAAAAAATATATAGACAAACCTAATTTGACAAGACAGAATGATTAATTTTATAAAAAGGAAACGTTAAGATTTTGTTCAAACATTTCTTTGTTTGCTTTTAGAGAAAGTAAAAAGTCGAGCGTTGCCCCCGCCGGGCGGTGGCTCTTGTTTTTCATATAATATGGCTAATATAAAATTTGACTTTTCAAAACCTGTCACAATTCTCTCTAGAATTTGCTGTTATAGCTTTTCTCTGAATGATGAAAAATGTGATATCACAAATTCAAAATTGTACCAGTTCATGTTAAATGTTGAATTCTTCTTAAGCTGCTACTAGGGGCGTGGACGGTAGTTTGCACTTAACAGTACCGTCGATGAACAGGCTCAATCAAACTGAGCCTGTAACATTTTTCATTATGCCGTTTTGAGCTTTCTTTAGGGATTCTTATTTTATAAACATGTGTACATGGAATTGAAAAAAATAAACTCTGTTCTTTCAATGTGACATTACAGTAAACATTTGCACAAAAATAAGCTACGAAATCTTTACCAAATTCACAGAATATAAACATGTTTTAGAGCATATTATAATGTCTTACAATTTTCTAAATATATGTGAGAGACCTGATAATAAGTATGTCAATTCAAAATGCTTCTGCCATTGGTTATTGTAAGATTGTTATTTTAAAACTTTGATTTGTTTTGTATTTTCAGCATTATGTGTATTCCTTCTTCCAAGAAATGGGCAGATTCACAAGAGACTTCAATTAATCCAAGAACTGACATTCATGTGGAATTTTCTGTAATTGTGATATGAACAAAATCATAGACTACAAAATGGGTCCTAAACTAACATAATGTGTCACATCGGAATCATGAACAGTTCATGTATGGAGAAATTTTGCATGAATTACAAATACTGAAGTCACCTAGTGTTTGGACGTCCAGCAACTGTTTGAATATACTGGTATTTATAAAATATATAACAGCTGATATTAACATTACTCTTCCAAACTTAGGACTCCAGCCAATCATGAGATGATTAGTAAATAGTTAAACTAAATGAGTACCTGACACTTAGTTATTACCACAGAGTTGCAGTCATTGTATTGTTTAA